CGCCCTCGCCCTCGCCCTCGCCCTCGCCCTCGCCCTCGCCCTCGCCCTCGCCCTCGCTCTCGTCCTCGTCCTCGTCCTCGTCCTCGTCCTCGTCCTCGCCCTCGCCCTTGCCCTGCTAATGTAATGCAATGGCGTAGGTGGGAGGGGTCTTACATGTTCGCGAGAAGTACGATGTAAAAATGCGTTGGAAATTATGTTGTGCACTGACTGAAGTTTGTTTTACACAAATCGCAAAGGCTGAAGGCCGGAGCATCGTTACCCCAACTCGTAAATACCAAGCGACAAATGAGGTATTATACGATTAGTTTAGGAGGTATCTCGTAAATAAAAATTTATGACTGACGCAGTGGATCTGGAAACTAATTGGTACAATTTGGTCTTTCACTCTCCTTAGCAAACTTCAAAGCAGCAAAGTGGATCATATAATACGTACTATTCCTCATCCCGTCATGAATTTCACCTACCTTAGTGACCTCGTGTTGGCTTACGTGTTAATCATTCTGCTCAAGACCGAAGTACGCTTCGAAGCTGCAACAACTTCGGACTTAATCCGTCCATTTTGGATAATGTGAACCTTATCCGTTTGTATCGCGAATTAGAAGGATGCGGCTTAGGTGGTTTAGGGCATCAATTGACGTCATTACCGCCCGTCTTACAGGGATGTCCTACGGTTTGAGTACGAAGGTTGTAGGATTTGTGAGACTAGCTAGACAGGTTGAATTTAGTCACTGCAATCTGAAGGAAAATTCTAGAAGTCGGGTGCTCTGATCGGTAGTTTTCCGTGGTCTCCCAGATTACACCAGGCAAATGCCCGAGTGGTCCCCTTAAAAACAAGCCACGGGCCACGTGCAATATTTCCTTTCTCTTCCTTGTCCTATCGTCACCCGTTATTTATGCACACTTACATTTACACGCGCTACACCACACATGCCGGGAGACCAGTCGGAAACTTAAACTTGTCTCAGGTGGGGCGGTGCTCCACTGGTAGGTCGGCCCCGGATCTCGCCACCCAACGCAAGAAGATCACCGCCGCCCCCCGCGATAAAAACATGCACTGCTCCGACGGGACTAATGACCTTAGAAGTTGACGCTTCCGGAATCACCAATGACGCGATGTAGCAATGGAGGGGGAGGGGCTTACTCACTTGGGGTCTCCGCCGGCGGCGCGGAAGAGCGTGGGCAGCCAGTCGGTGACGTGCAGCAGCTGCGGCGCCAGGCGGCCCGGGGACGCGACGTGCGGCGCCCACAGCACGCCCGCGCCGCGCACGCCGCCCTCCCACAGCGTGTTCTTCACCTGCGCACGCGCACGGGCGCGTTTCTTTCTTTACTCATCAGTTCTATTGTACTAAATTCCTTTAATTCTATAAATATGGTGATATATA